GCACAAAGGGGATATGACGCCATCGACAGGCGACCAGTGAAACGCAGCGTTACCTGAATAAAATTACAGATTTCTCTGAGTTTGAACATTGTTGGAAACATTTGGGATAATGGATATTTTTCACGTGTTTCGCGTTTCTCCTTCATGCTTGTCACTTAATCCTACGCAAAGGACCTTTAAGTTATTAATTTATTAAGAGAAAGGGGATAAATTATTATTTAATCTGATGTATTTATTTATCTGTTTATTTATTCTCTGCTTTGTTAGTGACAGATGTCACTTGTTGATGCACAGCTGCTTTGTGGAAAATGAAATAAAAAGTTCACAAAAACACTGGATTTGGATTTGGTGAAGACTGAAGGTGTTTCTGTCCTGTTGTCACCTCCACAGAGACTTCTTTCCGGTCTGACAGCCAATCACAGCTCTGCTCTGGTGGAATCACCCCTGAAGGGGTTTGGGTTTTTTTTCGGGGGAAACAAGTTTGGCCCCTCTGTGGCCCCTCCCCCTTTGACAGATGCTTGCTGTAGCCAATCAGGACGCGAGCTGAGAGAACCTGAGGGACTATGCTCACCTGGACCAATCAGAGCGTCCGCTGAGAGAACCTTACCTTTTATGGACAACGCCAGCAGTCCCGCGAGCGCGAATAAAACCGGTGTGCTTTGGCTCGTGATGCTGCATTGACCGAGCACAGCTGGGGCACCGGAACACCCAACACTTCACCGACAGACACACACACCCGAGACTCACCTGCACAGGTAAGAACCAGCGCGTTCTGCTGCTTTCTAACGTGTTTCTGTGTGGATAGCTGCAGACTGAGTGACAGTGGAGCTCATTAGACAGACTGATCACTCATCAGCACTGACTCCCTCCAGGTGTGTGACAGACAGGTGATGGCTCTCTGACATTCAGAGGAAAGGTCGGACTCGATGCACAGAACTTGTTCTGTCCTGTAAAGTTTTCTTTCTGTGTTTAAGGAAAGCTTGCACTTTCCGACAGAAGCTTTTCAGGGTTAAAATCCTGCAAGGCTTTCTGTAATCAGGTTTAGGATCAGCGGGTCAGGGAATCTGAAGAGATCTCTGCAGGTATGAGGATGTTTGCTCTCAATCCTCGTTTTCCACCAGCTCCAGCTGCAGTTTAACAGTCACATTCAGGTTTTTAAAACTGGAAACTGGAGAGAAAAATAAACTGGTGATGTTAAAAGAGAGCAGCAGAGAGCAAAAAAAACAATTAAATTCTTAATGTTTCATGAAGTCTTTTATCCAGTAAAGTATTAGTGTAGTATAGTTAGATTTAATGTAGTGATCAATACATGAAACAGTTTCTCATTTATGAGAAACAAAGTTGAATATGGATTAAGAATTTATTTAAAATCCTTTTTCAGTTATTCTTTCTAACTTTGTCATTTATATTTGATTTTCTGTGTGTGTGTGTGTGCCCTGAGGGAAGGGCTGCTCCTTTCTGCATCAGACACTTCCTGTTTCAGACCCTCAACAAAATAAAACTTCCAGGAAAATTCTTCAAACTTGATTAATTTGTCGCTCTCTAACAGGCCGGATGCTGAAGTTGACTTGACTCATCTCTCGTGAGGCAATTAAAAAAGGGTGCAGTTAATGCATGTCTCATCATGAAGAGGCAGTATGGAGTCTGTAGAGTTTACTAAACAGGAGTGGTTCACGCTCTGCCTGAACTTGTTTAAAAATGTCCTGAAGCGATGGGACTTAAAGGCCTCATGGGTAAAGTTTAGCAGGTTGGACGACTCTACTCTGCCACGCCCGACAGCAGTAATTCCAGTGTGCGCTGCTGGACGGAAAACTGATTTTAAAATGTTTAATCTCTGATGGAGATGGAAATGAAGAGAAACTACAGAGCAGGAAGATGCACAATGCAGCAACACTTTCAACTCTTTTAAATCAGTGAGGTTCAGTTCTTTGCATCAACTTCAGACTCATCATGCCCAAAGGATGTTGCATCACTTTAAAGGTGCACTCCAGACTTTTTGAAGTGTTGAAATACTCAAACTAAGTGGAAGTGTTTCATAATCCTGTAATGAGCTCGGAGGAAAAGGTCAAATGTCCTTTGCTTTTTTTTTTTCTTGAATGAAAACTTGACTTATTAATGTAAGAATATATCGTGTTACAGATATGAATGTGTGAGGAAAAATGAATCTCCCTGCGTCAGTCACTGAATCGAGGCATAAAGACGTCACATTCACTTCTACAAAGAGAATTTGCATTGTTTTACAGTTTATATCCTTCCTGAACCCCCAGTATCATGAAGTGTGTCTGTGAGCTGAGTGGTGTTGCATCTATTATTTACTGTTTTAGAAAATCCTGATTTTAAAATCTTTATCCACTCTGCTTATTAACATTAAACTGATCTTTCAGTAGCTTTCCTTTTGTATGTAAACACAAGTACTACAGGGCAGACTGGAGAAAACGAGGGGGTGATATTTAGGGGTGATATTGTGGGAGAAATATTTCATTAATTTTACTGTCTCCTTTTTCAGAAATGGAAGACGATATCGCCGCCCTCGTTGTTGACAATGGCTCTGGCATGTGCAAGGCCGGTTTTGCCGGAGACGATGCCCCCCGTGCTGTCTTCCCGTCTATCGTGGGTCGCCCCAGACACCAGGTACGGAGACCAGCATCAGCGCTGCTGATGTGTGTATAATCACTATAAAATGTGACACACTGGTAAAGCAGTGCAACATGTGACTGTGAAGGTGTGTTTGTGTGTGTCCAGGGTGTGATGGTGGGAATGGGACAAAAGGACAGCTACGTGGGAGACGAGGCCCAGAGCAAGAGAGGCATCCTGACCCTGAAGTATCCCATCGAGCACGGCATCGTCACCAACTGGGACGACATGGAGAAGGTGAAGACAAACCTTCATGTTTCCACACCTGGAGCTCAAATAAACCTGGTTCCTGAGAGCTGTGTCCTCTTCAGCACCATCTGAATTACTGCTGCTTTAATGTTAATACATCACATTAATGATGGAGCTACTTTATTTTATTGTCTCTTTTATTTATAAGTTATACTTGTATGTATATTTTTGGCTGGACATTTCACTGTAATGTCACCAGCTGTATAACTGGTAGTCAAACTAAGCATCTCTTGTCCTGCAGATCTGGCATCACACCTTCTACAACGAGCTCCGTGTTGCCTTCCTGAGGAGCATCCAGTCCTGCTGGACCGAGCCTCCACTCAACCCAAGGCCAACAGGGAGAAGATGACACAGGTGTGTGTGTGGTTGGGGGGGGGGGGGGGGGATGCAGTCTATTCTTGATGTTACTAAAGTTTTTGAAGAAAAAGATCAGTATATGGCCACCACTGCCCTTCAGCGGAACGTCCCTCTGGGCTGAGACACACATTAGTTGGAAATGCATTTTTATTTGTATTTTTTTTTTTTTTTTTTTTTCCTGAAATCAACATTTAAACATTGCTATAGCCTCAGTATATGAATCTGTGCACGAAATAAC